CAACTAATAGATGACTGTGTGAAATTAGGAACGAAATAGTCAACCGTTATCTTTCCGTTAACCAGTTAACGGTTTGACTATTTCATTCCTAATTTCGCGCAGTCAACTATTAGTTGGGGAATAATTCTGCGCGAGCAATACTTGAGTATTAAAACTGCCGATTTCAAATACTTGGGGAATTAATTGCCCATTTTCCCTACAATCCATCAATCAAAACTGTAAAAAAAAACAATCTTTTGATTGTTTCCTTTTGAGTTATAAACATTAACATTAAATAAAAAAACAGAGAAGTCAACAACAAAATTAGACCTTTGGAGAACAATTGTTCCTTTGTTTTCGTCCTCCAGAAAAAAAAATCGAAACTTTTGAATGGTTTTTGACTTTTGTTTTGTGATTTTATGTTCTTACCACTTAATATGTCGGAAACATAAAAAAAAAAAAAATGTTTCTTCAATTCCATTAATGTTTTGATTTCACAAACGCTTCATGTTTAGGACAACCATGCCACAAAAACTGATTATAAGTATTTTATAATTAAAATAATTAATTTCATTACTTGTAGAACCATTAACTATCAAGATATCCATGTAATTAAATTCACATCTAAATTTGGTCACATCTCTTTTTATTTGTATAATTTTCTTTCATACTATGTGATATATTAGAGTATTGCCACAATTCAATCTTTTCATAAATTCTTATTAATCTTTTCATAAATTCTTATTAATCTTTTCATAAATACTTATTCAATCTTTTCATAAATACATGTTCTTTTATTGATTATTTTGCCGTTACTAATATTGATTAAGCTCCTAACATCTGAATTAAGTACTAAAATAAAAATTAAACACAAAAAGAGAAAAACAAGCAAATGGTACCCTATTACCTTTAACTTTAAGGCTGTTTGTCATACTCCCTCCGTTTCATATTAAGTGTCATTGTAGAGAATTTTTTGCGTTACAAAATAAGTGTCGTTTTCGGTTTTCAATGCAAAATTTATTAATTTTATTATGTAATTTGTTTTTCTATTGGTTAAAATATGGTTAGGTGTATGGGTAACTGTGTTTTTATATAGGAAATATGTAAAATTAATTGTTTTCTTAATCCGTGTGCACAGCTGTAGAGTGACACTTATAACGAAACAGAGGGAGTACTTTCTTTCTCTCTCTCTCCAGCCGTCGTTAAAATAATTTTGAGCTTTTTGATGATTGATTAGAAATTAAATAGTTTAACGAATTAGGAGAAAAATAAAAGTTTGCTGAATAAAGAACTTCCCTAGGTGATTTAATTAGACTAATCTGGTTACTAATAGAAAAATAGACAAGATTATGTCCGTATCATTTTAATTTTTTGCTTTGGTGTGTTAAATATAATTGTTGGGTTTTAATTACTTTTTATCTTAGAAAAATATTTCATCTATATCATAATTGCTCTTTTTTATAATTCACACATATTGAGAATCATTTATAATTAACTTCTTTTAAAATTGTTTGTTCGAAGTTAATTTTTTTTAGTATGAGGTTTATTTGATTTAATATGGAGTATATGTTTTAAGCTTGAAGGTACGTACCTCATTGGTAAGTGGAGAGATGATGACTCCAACGTAAGTAAATCGAGAATTTCTACCAATGGTCATGTTGTTGTTGTTTTCACTATCGCGTAATTGCTGTTTTATTAATTAAAATAAGTAAGAAGAAACGAGCAAAGAGATATAAAGACCGAACACACGAATATTCGTTTTCAGAAACAAGGACCATTTTTTATATAGATTGTATGTGTTTGGTATAGTTTTGTACTTTTGTTCAATACGTTGTTTTTGCCTGCCTTTTACCACAAATCGTGACTATACGTGCGTTACTTGTAATGGACCAAATACTTGATAAGTTTTTTTAACAAAAAACAAAAGACTTGATAGTTAGTAAACCCACGATGATTGTTCGCATTTTTATGGAGTATATTTATAGATGACGATTAGTTTCTTAGTTTTAGACTTGCTACTATCTTTAAATCCGAGTACATGCAAATGAGATTAGCTTAACTATATACATGATGCTTATTGACAAGATTATAGTACAAAAAATGTTGTCATTAAGTTCGGAATGTACACGTTTCCCATGTCGTATGGCCACATTTCATGGACTCAAGATTGGACCCGAAACTTGATTCCATACATCAACCATACGCTTAACGATCTTAAAGATATTAGATACCCTTTATTGACACTTTAATCATTTTACAACAACCTATGAAACCACTTTTATCCTTCTTTTCCGGAGCTTCAATGCTACAAAATAAATTCCAAGTAAATTAATGTATAAAAGTGGTGAGTTGATATTAAATCGAGGTTGGTAATAATTTCCCCACGAATTATATCGTAAAACTTATAAAGTATGATTAATTACACACTAAAGTCTAAAGCAAAGACGATCATCTTTCTGTTTAGTGATGTGGTGATTCTACTCGTCTGCACGTCCACAACTATACAGAGATAATCACGTAAACCCTATTAATTTTTATAAAAAAAACTTTAGCATAGCCTTTATATTGTCCTACCATACGAACATTATATATCTTTACAAATGCATTTGGTATGAAATTGACTTTTTAAGGGTCTGAGATATTAAATGTTTTATTGTCTTTTCAGGAAATGTATACATCAGACTAATTTTTCTATTGAAAATAACAATTGATAAATATCAAAAACCGACCATACTAAAGTTCACTTTCGGCTCCAACAGATATGATTCAACTAAAAAGACAATGACTTCTTGTATTTCTGGCTTACGACGGCTGGGCATAAACCATCTCCAAAATTAATATTAGTCAACATTGCCGCCGGCACCATGGAAACTGGTGGTTGTGGAAACCGCCGCAGAACGGCTGAGATAAGGTGGTCTATATCTAATTTGACAATCACTAAGCACTTTTTGTTTTAAAATTTTAAACTAATAGTATTCCTAGCAAGGAGTGTGGTTAATTAGTGGCAGACAAGAACCAAAACAAAATCGATGCGTAACTTAATTATCAATTATTATTCTCTCAAACAAAGAAAGGAAGTATAGTATATTACCATCAACAAATGAGCAAATACCATTAGGAACTTACTACAATGTTAGACGAGTAGATTAAGTAATTGTGATTTTTTTCTAAACCTTTCCTTCGTACTTGAAATTCAAATCGGACTCTTGTTTCAGAGCTGCTAGATAGTTCCTACAAGGACCTTCTGCAGAAAAGCAAAGACCATGAAACAAACAAATTACGTCAAAAAATACATTTTTCTGAATTAGAACGTTATGGGACAATTATTTAAAAAATGTACTTACCACCAAACACTGTATGGAGATATTGACGATCCTTGTCAGAGCAAGAGTCTACGAGAGCATACACACCAGGCCTTAAAGCTTCATCTATCTCCCTGCAAAACGTTGCAAAAATCAATTAATTCCTATCTACTTATTCAGGTGGCTTCCTATAACTTCAGGAAAAGAACACTCTCAAGCCATACTTTGAAAAAAACTGAACAAGATACTGGACTGGTTTCACGAAAAGGGAAGTTGTAAATAGAGAGACGCTGAAGGAAGAAGGTTGTTACCTTTTGATACCCGTTTTAAGAGGACCATATCCACAAGAGATCCATATGTAAGTTGACAAGAACTTGAAACAATGATGCCCAAAGACTTCATTCTGCTGTCTTAGCTGCAATTCAGTTGTTTTGGGAGCAAATAAAAATATGAAATACATTAGAATCATTCAGACATCCAATCTTAATTCCTCGAAACAAAAATCTACACTTGTTAATTATTGGTAGTTTTTTCGTCCACAAAACTGGAGTGATTTACCTCTTCATAGATCCTCCGAAGAAAACAAGCACATGTGATTCCCTCTTCCACTTCAAATGAAGCAAACTTACCAACTTTGTTTCCTCCTGTCTCCAGGCAATGAACAAGCGCAGAAACAGATTCTAGTAGTGTAGCAATGTAGCGCTCAGTTTTTCTAGATATTTTGAAATGACGATATCAGAGGCAGTTCTAAGATGGAAAATTTTAACAAGATTTTGTGCATAGGCAAAAATAAAATTCTACTTACTTCGGATGATGCTTAACACTTGTGTATATCAGTCGGCAGCAAGCAGCATACAGGCTCACTGAGAATTTCTGGTCTACTTGAAGATCTTGTTGCTGATTATTCTTATGTAACAAATTTCCATAATCACGAAAAATTGCTCCGGGTATATGCATGGCTTGGCTTATGTGAGATGGATTCATCTCAAACAATGTGTGTTTCCCGACTACTCTTATCAAGACTTCGACACACATGAGGATGACTGATCCAGCATCTGGAGATTTGGGACCCTGGTTGACAACAACTGCATCTGTGCAGAAGATAAATGGACTCTGCATGTGAGCCATGATACCAAACACTGCCGACATTAAGCCCTGAATGCGTCCTTTAACCACATTCAAACGATTGCTACCTACAAAACAATTTTACTAGTTCACTGCTACAACTAGTATTAACATCAAGTATACTAAGACTGCCTATAGAAAAACAAAGTTTACCTGTGGCATGCTCCAGAACTAGGTCTAGACAGTCAATACCAGCCGCAGCAGTTTCAGAGATTCTACCCCCATCTCTGTCTCCAGTCTGTATGCTATAGATAGCTGGGCACACTTCACATACTCCAACCAGTGCTCTTTCTATAGCTTCTAGTCCTGACTTTAAATGCGACTCCTCTGAGGAGTTATGTATTAACACTTTAAATGCCATTCTAAACCTCCCTTTTAATTCTTCCAACCAATGTAATCTCAGAGACCGGCTTGTTTCTAACTGCACTTTCTTAGCATGGATTACATTAGTACCAAACCCTGTCTCGTGAGATTCCAAGGTAGCCTCTTTTCCTTGTAGCGATATGCATTTCCCAATCACCTTCAGGAGCAACTCAATCGACTTTGAGTAGAGTTGATCTCTGTTTAACATTCGTTTATATAAGCACAAGTGGCTCCCTAATTCTTCTAGAAATTTCGCTGCACCATCCAACCATATAAATGAGGATTCGAGAGGTAACTCGTTCGTGTCTGCTAATACAGAGAGTAGATCAAATGAGATGCCTGTGAGAACAGGGACAAATGAGGGTGAGAATGTAATGCCTTTGATCTGCAGATTTAGATTTAATATTGCAGCAGAAACAATTAACAGATGCCTGAGGGCCAATACTACTTCCGGAGAATTCCCCTTTATTAAGCTCTCAATAATTTGTTTTTTCACATCGCTGCTAGTCTCCACTATGTCACCACACACACGACCATTTGAACCCTCGGTCCCATCAAGCAATCTAGTCCAGTTGAGACGGGTTTGAATTTCTCGCTGCACGTCAGCACTAAGAAACAGATACTGTGCGAAAACCTCAATAAAATTGCTAAGCACATGGATAATGCCAGAAAGGTTCGAGAATTCTTCTGATTTCCATCTCAGTTTGGCGTTCTCATGACCCTTCTGCGTTTCTCTGTGACTCACTGTAGATGCTAATCCCCACAACAACCCACTAAGAGAAGAAAATATGGGTACTAACTTGTTCAGTATCAGAGTCTTACACTCAAAGACTGTATTCTCATCTCTGAAGGTAGCCCTTAAAGAAATTAGTAGAGTTTCCGCCTGTACTATCAAGCTATCAAATGCAAGGTTTGCTTGTCCACTTCCCTCAGAAAGTTCTGTTGAAATGAGTTGTCCATCAAACAGTGGGAGCGCCTTGCTGAATTGATCTCTACTTACGGTTAGAAACATATATGATGTGTGATCCATCAAAGCAAAGAGTGCGTCCCTTGATTTTCTTGTAAAATCACTCCCAACTCTCTCTTGACAAGTAACCACAGCTTGTACTGATTTGAAAAGCCAAGAAGTCAGTAACGAAATATCAGATAGAGGCAACTCGGTAGATCTTAGCACCTTGTCGCAAGAAACCATAGCAATATTTTTCAAAGTTTTTCTGCAAGTGATGAACAGGCTGAAAAGGTTTCGCATATCACCCGGAGACAGCTTGTTCGAACATCTCAACATGCTAAAAACTATAAACCTACAAAAGATATTAACAAATGTATAACTGATACGCCTTACTACATCAAACATACAGAAGATGGATACGCTTTATACTATTATTTACCTCTCAAGGTCGAGAAGAAAACTTGCATAAAGTTGGAGTGACTTCTTATTCATGTACTCCTTGGGCATCCCACATAAAGTATTTAGCAAATGTTGACATGCTGTATACTTTCCATTGTCCAGCTGCGACACATGCCCCTCGAAAAAGGTTTCTGACTGAAACTTGGCAACTGAACTTTCAAGCACGTTTAACACCTCTGACCAATCTGCTGGTGAATCTACTTCTTCGGTAAAGTCCTTGAAAAACGCTTCTGTTGTCGTTTTGAGTATGTGGGAAAAACTAGGCGCCAAACACCTGCGAACAAACTAGTAGATAAACTCAAATGAGTATCTTGATATAGGAGCATAAAGAAACAAAGCAAAAAATAAAATAACTGAATGATATTGCACAGAGAAAGATGACTTACTTCATGCTCATACAATACTGAATCACAAAGAAGCCCTAACGAAGACTGTTCCAACACTGTTTTCTTATTTTGAGTGCCTTTGTCTACACTATTCTCCAAACCAAGATTAGGCACATTCAGTCCGTTCAAAATACGAGGAACCGAACTTCCTATTAGCTGAGACAGGAAGTTCTTCATATTCTTTTTTCCTGCATGGGGGCACCAAATATCAATATGCTGCCTAAGAACCCACAAACGTACAGCAGGCAAACACTTCCCGTCGATGCCAGAAGCCCTGAGCACCGACTCATCAGTGTTATCTATCGTTTCAACTTTAGCAAATCCTGGTATGATGGTGTTACCCAAAAGGAAATTACTAAGCTCTTCTCCTTCACACTTGAGTACTGATACATGCTCGAGGACTGTATCATGCATCTGATGATCACTTATCTGTGACACATATTCAAGTGATTTTATGTCCCTGTTTAAATCAACAAGTCTCTGAAGAGCGACACCGTATAATATATGAACCAGCAAGGAGCAATCTGCACTGTCATCCTTGAGGCAAACAGCTGAAATTTGTTTAATGATGTCAACAATAGAAGCTGAAGGTTGGCAGACCCATGAGAAATAGCCTTCATCGTTCCAACTTTTCTTTTTTACCCAATCACTTCCGCGACGAGCTGTAGCAGAGTCACCCATAATACCAGCCATCTCTTTTGACTTTTTCGGTGGCATAAGACTAATCACTTGCCTAGATAAGCTTCGTGAAGACATGTAAATTCGCAAGAAGAAGATAATGAAAAAGCGCAGAGACTTTCTGTATGTCTCTCTATTCTTTTCAGAGATTATAATCTCCAAACCCTTTCCAGTGACAGCAGAAAGGAAATTTTCAATGCAATCTGAGTCGGAAGAAACCAAGTGAGTTAAGTAAGGACGGATGAGAATCACCAGGGAATTCATGGACTCGGCAACTTTAATGCTATTCCCGGTTTTAATAGTTAGCGAGTCGAGAACAAGTGAATAGATAGCAGACAAAGCTCCGGCCAAGAATGCTGCTACCTGTTCTCTACTTGCTGAGCAACTAACTCTTATCCAACCAAGGGTTTCTGATACATCTGTAGTCAAGCTCTTGATAAAATCAGATGCTTGGCCTTCTGGTATAACTTTAATAGCTCTATGTATAGCAAGCCTTAAATCTTGACATGACAAGAGCTTTTCCGCTGATTGTGCGCTTCTTTCTATTGTAGAGAGTGGAAGCTCTCTGATGTCGACCATCTCCTCATTATCACCATCAGCAGGTATCACAAGCCTTACAGCTTTGCACATTCCGAATACAGCAACATTTACCTACATCATAAGGGCTACATTAGTGTTCTTCAGGAAAACAATGACAGATTACTACAAAAGCGGAAAACTCAATCACTCAAAGGAATATAATTTGACAAACCTGGCGAAGGTCACTGTATAGATTTATCAACTGACATCCGAGACCAAGTAACAATGAAGTCAAATGGCAATGATCTTCTGCATTCTCTGATGAAAGACTGGTAAATCTCGTGAAAGAGAGAATGGTTAGCCACAAAGTAACTAAATCATTCTCCATAACTTCGTATTCAATTTGCAACAAGTAGCCTATCGCAGTTATCAGCTCCTTGGCTAACAAAACATGCATCTTCGAACCTTCAGAATCCGTGTGATATTTTTGTAATTGAGAAGCAACTGCAACTACTGTTGTGAATATTTTCTTCAAGAAACAAAAGCAAGCTCCTTCGGATGCATCCTCTGTCTTTACGTATATTCTCTCACGAGCAAAGTGGAAGAGCAAACTATTTGCGGACCTAATCAAACAGCAGAAATCAGCTAATAGAGATGCAACGTCAGAGTTAGATTCAACATGTCCATCGATCTTCAGCAATATAGGTTCCATAAGATGCAGGAAGAAATCAAAAAGTGATTTCCGTGACTCCCAACGGAGGAAACTTGAGGAATGACTCTTTGCAGAAGACTCATTATCATTTGTAGCTGCGCTGCGCTGCTGCCCCGGCTTTACTTCGGCCTTTTTAGATTGCAGCTGATTCGAATCTCTTTGCTGTTTCATCACTCTGTTTATAAACAAACTAAACAATGACCCCATACAACTCAGCTCCAGCTCCTTCTTCATCAGTAACATGTTCTCAAACTTGGTGAAAAAATGCCGATGGTAGCTTTTCAGAACGGTTTTGTTCACATTCGATTCTGGCAAATACCTTTCCACTCCGCCTAGGCCTAAAAACCCATCAATATGAGATGAATGAAACAAACCCATAGATAATATTTCTTGAATCAACTTCAACAAGGTCGTTTCTAAACCATGATCTTTGTCCTCGCTGGTTAACAATAAACCCAATACACTCAGTAATGGCTCAACAAGCTTCTCCACGAAATCTTGAAACCCATTCTTCTTAGTTGGTTGAACCATAAACTTAGAGAACTGCTCAAGAACCAAGCAAGAGAATTTAAGTACATATCCATCAGCGACACCGTCTTTGATATTCTCTGCAAGAACTCTATGCGTGAGCTTCAAAACAGGCTCAACAGCTGAAAACCACAAGTCGAAGTTATCATTGAAAAGCCCACTTTTCGATGAAAACAGCAACTCTACACACTCAACCACAGAGCTGAAACCTTCAAAACCTTGACCATCACCGAAACTAACCCCTGAAGACAAAGCTTTGTTCAATGCAGATAAAAGATCTCCAGCGATAAACCCTATAGCCTTCAAAAGGTACCTTGACGAATTAATAGAGACGTGCAGGACTGAAGACTGCTTCAAGCAGAACCTGAGAATGTTCCAGCATCTGAAGTCCAAACATATCTCAGCCTTAACTTGAAAATTCTGTTCTTTAGAGAAAAACAGTGACTGGATCCAGTCGCTTAGGTACATAACCAGACGCGATATCGTAACCGCTTGACACTCTTCCTCACTCTCCTTCTCTCCTGCATATGCTTCCACAAAACTATAAGCCAACTCCATCTTCCTGCAAAAATCATATTCCGTAAAATCATTTAAAAAAAAAAAAGAACCTTTTGGAAAAATTGAAACAGGTAAAATCACATTATCAGCTACAAAGTCACAATCTTTCTATTCAAAGTCACAAACTTTCAACAAATTAAAAACTTTCAACAAACTAAAACAGTAACATCGTCAATTATAAGCAAAAGAAGCATAAAGGGAAGGATTAAAAACTCACTCTTTGTCGCTCAATTCATTGCTCTGTAACGAAAGTATAAGCTCAAGGTTCTTCCATGGGCCCACTTCGGAAACAATACCTAAAGCTGTTTCCTTTTTATCACAAGGTTTGGCTTCTACGACTTCTACTGGGACATCGATACACTGTGTTTGAGGGTTCTGCTTCTTCTTCTTCGTCTGCTTCGAAGGGTTGGGTTTCTGCTGCGGACTAGTTTGCTTCCTTTTCATCTTACACTTTCTAAAGTTTTGTGATGTCTCAGAAGAAGATGGGTATGAAGAGAAGACGGTGACAGGGTCGACGAGAAGAAGAAGAAGAAGAAGAAGTGATTTGTTAAAACCCTACCGGTGAGGTAGCAAACAATCGACGGCGGCCTTAAAACCCTCAAGGGAGCTTCACTTTAAATTTTTCTTTTTCTTATGCCGACAAAGCCCGGTAATGACCGGCAACGTCTAACCGATTACCAAACCATAAAGTGACCACTAAACCGAATGTTAATTGAATTGCCAACTAAACCAACTATATGGGCATTAGCCATACATATTTATACACTACGAAGGTGTGATTAGCTACATCGTCTTGGGTAATATAACTATTTTTCTTGAAACGTCGTTGCTCGTTCGTTGGTATCCACTTCCTAATATTGTAACATCTTAAACATTAAAATCAACCAAAGCTAACTTAACTGAATCAAATTAATTAAATTTTGTTAATTAAATCAGATCGGTTTTCTATTTGGAATATGTCGGTGTTTTATATATAGATTCGTAGATTTCAACAAGGAGTCTACTTTTTAATAATGGTTATGATGTTAAGTAAACCATACATATTATTTGACTACATGTCATTGTGTTAACCATATAACTTGTGTGCTTAAAGAAAATCTAGATTTTGATCCGCGCTTGAAAGCGCGGAAATTTTTTATGATTAAAATTTCTATATTTGGATTTTGTCTTAATTTAAAGAATGTTTTGGTATAAAATCAATTCACCAAAATTTGTGGTGATGATTGTTTTTCATAAGTTTTTAGTTTTAGTTTTTATTTTTAGATTTTGTTTTAGATTTTGGTTTTTAGTTTTTAGTTTTTAAGTTTCTACTTTTGATTTTCAGCTTTTGGTTTGTGTTTTTAGTTTTTAGACCCGTTGAATTAGTTTGAACTGATATTACCAACAAACAAATCCTAAATAATCGAACATCTAATTTAAAGCTCAAAAGATGACAAAAAAAATTTGCAGTAGTTTATTTTGTAAATAAACAAAAGCAAATAAAATATAACTTGTGTTTTCAGTTTTTGGTTTTTAGATTTGGTTTTTGGTTTTTGGTTTTTGGTTTTGCTTTACATTTTTTTAAATCAGTAAATTATTTAAAGAAAAATAAAACAATAAATTTTTTAAAAGTTACTATTGAAATTTATCAAAATAAAGTGATTGTTATTTAAAATAAAAAATACATTAACATGTTTTTAAAGTACATGATTTAAATAAATGATTAATAATAGATAATTTTGTTTTGTTAAAAATATTAAATACCTTTTGGGCCTAAAAATAATAATTGGTTTTTTTTATCTATTAAGGTGTAAAGTTTATTCAATGTTTTTGGAGTTTTTCCTTAATACTAAGCCCAAAAACCAAACTATATAATTTGTTCTAAAAACAAAAGTAAGCCCAAGACTATATCCCATAAATAACTATCGGTTTAATTTAAGTAATCTGGTTTAATTAATTATATGGCTTGTGTTACATATTTGTAACACTCTAGAAATAGTCCAAATTTAAATGACAACTTGTATCAGTAGATAAAAATAATGACCCTGTTTTAATAGAGTGGACTAGAAATTGATCTACACATCCGTATGGATATATTTTTTATTTTATAAATATTTAACTTTGATATTAACATAAATATTTTAGATATATATTTTATATTTAGTGTTATATATATTATGTAACTTTTTAATTATATTGCTTAGTTTTCTTATTACATTATTAATATATTGTGATTTGCTTATATATTTTATTTTTTATTAATTGTTTTTACATTTTCGAGTTTGGTACAGTAAATATATAATCTAAAATAATCAAATCATTAATATCCTTTAAAATATCCTTTTTGAGAATATATAGTTAACAAATCTTAACCCGTTTTAATGTAGATAATAATTTATCTAAATTAAATTATTTTTAAAAATAAATAGGTTACTTTATCAATTTAATATAATTTGTCATATTTAATTTATATAATAATTCTATTTTAATATAATATAGACTATAACAAAACTTATAAAAGTAGAATATATATAATTGTTTTTTTATAATCAGAAATAATCAAATAACACTCTTTCTTTAAAATAGGTTTTTATTGAAAATATATAGTTGTAGAATCAAAAGTTTAACATATGTTAATAACTTTATTTTTCTAAGAATATTTACATAGTTAAAAGATTTAATCAGTTTTAACTGAAGATAATAATTTATTTAAATGAAATTATTTTTACAATAAATTGGCTAATTTACTAATTTAATATTATTTGTCATATTTAACTTATATAATACTTCTATTTAAAATAATATAGACTATAAGAAAATTTATAAAAATATAATACGTTTTTTATTTTTGTTTTATATAATACTTAATTAATATTAATTTAAAATAATATTATATTATTAATTACAAAATTAATTAATGCTTTATTTAACAAACATATTTTAAAATTTTAGTAGGATTCTGTTAGATCCTTTCTTAATAGATGTTGTTATAACTAAAATTAAAATTCATATTTATGGTTACAACTGATTAATTATTAAATATTCTTATTGAATATTATGTAACTAATGAAATATACCTACTATGACTCTTGTGCAGTAGATAAAAACAGTGACTCTTTTTTAATAGAGTAGACTAGATATTGACCCGCGCTTCGAAAGCGCGGGTTTGAATTATAAGTAAAATTTGATATAAGTTAGTATTTTGATATTTTGTATATTATTATATTACAAAATCTTATTATTTTGAAGCAGAGAATTTGTTTAAAATTATGTAATTTGTAAATTAATTTATTTAAAATTTTGTATATACATTTTTATATAACTCTCTCTTAAGTCTAGGTATTCTATCCGGATCTAAAAAACTGACATGTAAATACATGTTGATTTGGATCCAAAATAAAGTATATATCAGGTATTTTTTTGAACCCGTGAGTTTTGGTTTGGTCCAGATCCTACACAAAAATTTTGTTCTATATATTAAGATTATATTTTGGATAAAATTTGGGCTTTTTTAGACTCGAAGAATCCGGCCCAAAAATTGCTACGTACCCGATCCAAATACCCGTATGCAATATTTTTATTATATTTTGTATGCAATTTATAGGAGTTTCATTTGTTAAGTTGGTGAAACTTAATAATATAGATTTGTAGATATTTTAATAGTTTTTCAATTATGTTAAATAATTTTTTTTAATTATGATTCTTATTAATAGTACAGATTTGTAGATATTCTTACAATAATTCTTTCTAATAGTATAGATATTTATAATTCACCAATCATTTAATAATGGAAAAATAAAATCTATGACGAATACATATATTAAACTAAACTTCACAACGAAGTGAACATGTGGATTTCTTAACTTTTGGTCTATATATATAAAAGAGTTTACAATGATCTTATGTTCATAGAAGTTGGTACTTAGTACATAAATTATTATACGATTATGTCTCAATATAATGGGTGACGTAAGATTAGAACATGGACACTATAATTTGCGTGAATCAATAGTGGATTATATGGTAACTAAAATAAATAAAGCTAATATTATTTAAATGATATTCTAAAGATATTATGTAGATGTATATAATTTGCGTGAATCAATAGTGGATTATATGGTAACTAAAATAAATAAAGCTAATATTATTTTAAATGATATTCTAAANATTATGTAGATGTATATAATTTGCGTGAATCAATAGTGGATTATATGGTAACTAAAATAAATAAAGCTAATATTATTTTAAATGATATTCTAAAGATATTATGTAGATTATATAGATAACCTTCTAAGGATATTAATGATATTCTAAATAAGAATCTTACATATAGGAAGTAACACAATTAAAAGATATTTAGAAAGATAATTTAGTTGGTCTATGTAGATTAATGAATAGGTCCAAACAACATTTTAAGTAGATTTTTTAGGACTCCTTCTCTTTTAATAGTATAGATGTGGAAGCATATCGAAAATCATTTGTTAATTTTTTTTGCTCTTTGTTACATATCATCGACCGGGGACATGCAAATCTAACTATCTATAGATATTTCATGCAAACCTCCACCACTATAAATGGTTTTAACATATAGATTCTGAACCTATAATCATTCATAATATTAATAGTACATCTCTATCCATCTAAAACCAAAAAGATGCATCTCCTCCCAACTAACCTAAGATACTAAACTTCTAACCCAAAGAAAATAAATGAATTTTAAGAAATGTTTACATTTGCTCCAGATACTGCTTCTCTAGATATTGTCTCCTCTGGACGATTAACGAGCTTCGAATGTTCATCAGCCGAGCTGATTGCAAACTCAGCAAGTGAGCTCACTGCAACAGACATCCCATGGCAGAGTACTTTAACTGCAATCTCAGAAAGTTTCTCAGCATTCATCATCTTCTCCTCCTCTTCCTCCACCTTGTCAGCTTCAACAAGCTCCAAGCTCCCAGAACCATCTCTCCTCGGAGATTGATCTTCTTCCCTAAGCTGCCTAGCAAAGATTGAACCCATCCCACAAGCAAAGAAATCAAGTTTATCCACCACATGCTTCTCATTCAACCCGTTGAGCAACCTTGACCATCCAATGCACACTTCATAGATCCTATGAGGACAAGTTGAGAGTCTGACTTTCTCTGGGTCAGGGTCGCATCTGAAACATCTGAGTAACCATCCAGTTAAAGACAACACGTATGATCTCTGGGAAGTGATCCATGCTTGGAAGCAAACTCTCCAGTTTCTTAGCTGAGCCACTAGGTTTAAAGCAGACCGAGCTAGTCTCTGAGTGTTGATCTCCGGTAATGAACTATGTTGTCTCTTTTTGAGCATGGTTGTTGCAGCAAGTAATAGCTTGGCTTCGTCCAACGTTCTCTTCTGTATCTGGTGACACTCTGCCATCACTTTCCACATCCTAGCTAATCTGTAAGAAAAATTGCATTACTATCAGTGTTACCAGTAACCACAAGAAAAGATGGTTTTGTCATACCCTTGAAGAAGCTCAAGAAGCTGAGGAAGCAGTTCTTGGTCACGAAGAGTCTCGATCCTCTCTGAGATAGACTCTATTGAGTGTATAGAGACATTCATCTGAGTGTGTAAGTCTCTCATTGTAGCTCTTGTCTTATCAACTGCAGAAGAGTTGTCTCCTTTCACATCATGGTTCCTTAGAGCTAAACATTTCTTCTCATATGCAATCCTTACACGTTCTCCAGACTGTCACAACATCCAAGTCAGTCAACAACAGATAGAGTGAAGTATCTGTCAAAGGTTTCAGTTATTACATTACCTTAACTTCATCATAGAGTTTCTTCTCCCACGCGTATAAACGGTCCAATGTTGATTGATGGCTACCTGAAAGCATACAAGAAGATTCTTCTGAAAAGTCACTGCTGCTTTCAAATCCACTCTCCTTGGAACTTGAGCTGATCAAAAATCTTGATGAGGAGGAAGAAGATCTTGATGAGAACAAAGCTAATGGATTCAGCATTTTCATGCCTGCGAAAAAGAAAAGATTCAGAACAACATCTATTCATTTTGTATATAGTTTAGAAACAAAGAAGATGCTAATATAATCTCACCACTGAGTTCACTATTAGAAGATATGTAGTGAGATCTACTAGCTTCCAATAAACCAGAAACTTCATTAGCAGCATTACATATAATCTCAAACTGATCTTCAAGATCTTTAATAACTTCTCCCATGCTTGTCGGCCTACGAGTCAAGTACACAGTGAAGCCATGTTGTGTGGTTTCTTCTCCTTTTGCATCATCTGTTGTAACCACATGATGATGCCCTGTGGTTCCTCCTCTGGACACCTCATTGCTTTCTCGTTCTTGCGTTACAGTGAAGTCCATGTCTCTCTCATTCTCAACCTCACTAACATTGTCTTCTTGATTCATTTCACTTGCTTTCATGTTATGATGATCTTGAAACCTTGGAGATTCTTCATCATCATCATCTTCTTCTTCAAGATCAGGAATCCCTTCTTCCTCACGAACTCGCCTCACCTCTTCCTCCATACCACTCCGGTTATCATAGTTGTATCCGTAATAGTCTAATGAAGAGAATGGATTCCAAAAGAAGTCCCATTGAGAGTTCTGTGGTGAAGGAGGTGGTATGTTAGGACTGTTGTTGTGCGCAGGGGATCTCATGTTCATCCCCAAGAAACTATCAGCTCCATAGCTCTCAACATGGTAAGTCTCAGGAGATCTTGGAGGCGTTACTTCAACCTGAACCGGTCTGGTTCCACTAGCCATCAAGTAATTAACTTCCATTTTTGACTCTACCTTGCTCTGAGATAACTCAATGCTGCTCATTCTCTTCACGGGAGTAACAAACGTGTCTAGTGGAAACTCGTGTGGCTCGTCTCCTTCAATGTATTCGCGTAGAGCATCTGAAACCTTTCTTAGAGACTGGATATAAGCTATGTGGGCAGAAGCATAGCTTGTCCTGTGTTCCACTGCTTGTTTGATGAAACGTTTCCTGTCTTTACAGATCTGAACAGCTTCATCCTCACCTAACTTTGAATTAGAACATCCCATTTTTTTGTTTTACAATTTTAGCTTCAATTCCCAAAGCTCAAGAACTTGTATATAAAGTGTTGTTGGAGAACTGCACAACCAAGAACAAGATTTGTCAGATTCTTACATGTAACAAAAAAACGCTTTAAACAGCTAACAAAAAGCAACATATCATTAATTAAAGTGACAAAACGTTTCTATATAATAAATATGCCAAAGATATCAAGACAGAACTCTTAAATTATTTTCTGAATCATAAGCTTTTGTAGGTGAAAGAAATTAATATGAAGAAAAATGAGTACAAAATCTAAAACTCTTTTACACATTTTGTTTACCATTTTTCCTTCACTGAGGGAGGGACCCAAATTAATAAAGCAAAAAAATATTTAAAAGGTTTTGGTATTTTGGAAGGGAGATTAGAGAGAGAAGACAAAACCTTTCAGGTGTTACAGAAGAAGCTGTGGAGCGTGAAGAAGGAAGAGAGACGATGAAGAAAACAACAACGGTCAAAATAGAGTGAAGAAAGATAGTGATTGGTGAAGAAAGAAGACACAAAATTAAAGTTATGTTTTTTGGAAAAATAAAAAGAGTGGAACACGGAAATAAAGAATACGACATGTTATTATTATCCACCTCGGTTTTCAGATTTATTTTCGGTTTTGCCACTGTTCTTGCATTGGTTTAAGAGTTGGTTTATAGACTAATCTCTCCACTCTGAATGTGTTTTATGTTTTCTTATCATTTTTTTGACAGCAGTCTCAATGAGTCAATGGAGTGTTTTTATTGTTTTGTTTTATTATAAGTTAGCAGTACTTTGTTAGTTTCAACATGGGCCATTTATTTATTAATGGCGTTAGGACGTGCAGTTTTGTTGTATTCGTATATGAAACTTTCACAAAAGGCCGTTACCACACACAATTCTTGTTATATTTTTTTGTACTACTTCATAAACCTTGTTTAGGCGTTACAACAAACATGCAGGTTTGTTTTTTTTTTACTAATTTTTAGGTATTATATGTTTTTAACGGTTGATTGCTAATCTAATCGATGATATGTCCCACTTTTATAAAGAAAAAATATCTTCAAACTCTTATCATTCATTTCAAAACAACATAAGATTGATTTGTGTAAAGTATTCTATATTTGTTTGGAAATGGATTATAAAGCCAAATCAAGTGTTTTTGATTTGTTTCATGAAAAGAATACAATCAGCATGTGAATTGTGTTACACCCAAGAGTGGGTACTTTTGTAATTTCAAAGCATTTTCAGTGGAAGAAGTTAGAGTGGAGAATGGAAGATAAAATGATGGGTTTCAAATGCTACTCTATGAAGCTTACAACAAGTCATCTAGGCTCATTCTTTATCCTATTTGATGGAGCCTCACAAGATTTTTTTCTAGCCCAGTATGGCCCAATAAGAAAACCCATTACGAAGTTTATATTGTAAACTCAAATTCTTTCAAAAAATAAAAAGTTTATTTAGAACATTAAAAATATCAATCAAGACGCTAGTTTTAAAATTTAATTCTCAACATCACAAGTTCCAAGATTCTATTGAAAAGAAAAAAAACATTTCAAAGAAAAGAAAAATATCATAGTTTTTAAAATTTATTTATTTTTACTAGAATCAAATAAAATTTGTAAAATTATTAAAGATTGAAATACATATATTTAGAATATTTTAAGATGGATTTAGTAATATATATTAATATCTAACTAGATTTTGATTCGCTCAACCGAACGAAATTTTAATTTATTTATATATATATTAATATTAATCATATATTTATTTTTTCAACCAAATATTTATTTATTTATGTTTATTAATTTTAATATATTGTTTCATATACATATAAATTTAAGATATGTTATTTTGTATACATGTATTATATTGTATGTTATCTCATTTGACAACATATTATACTATTTTAATATAAATATTTCTATTTATAAAAATAAAATATATTATTTTAATTTAGTTTTATCATATTTATTTCAATATAATAATTATGTTAATTTGATAAATTATGATTCTAAAATAATTAAAATATGATATATTTTTTATTTTTTATTTTAATCAAATAACTAAACATATATTGAAGCATAATAATATTCTTAAATATTAAAATGTTGTAGATTATATAATAAAATTTATCAATAAGTTAATAGAATTAGATGTTAAACCATACATTGGGATTTCAATGGGGATCTCAGGGTCAGCACTTGCAACGGGCACATGAGATATCATTCTTATGTCGAATGACATAAGGAAGATCCCAAAAAAGATGAGACTAGCAAGAAAAAGTCACAGGAAATTGATTAAAAATGTGGTTTTGTCTGTGAGCATAAAAGAAGCAATCATGGTGCTTGGTTTTGCTGGTTACCCTTTGATTTGGGCAGATGTTCTTGCAGATGCAAGAACTTGTTTGCTTGTGATATTCAATAGTATGATGCTTCTACGTGATGAGCGTGAAGTTGTGTCTGCACGTTTCCGTGCTTCTTCTTCTTCTACTTCCCCGTTGGTGAAGTTTGAAGAGGATTTAGAAGTGGGACTCTTGCAGAAAAGTGAGGAGACGAGTAAAAAGAGTTATTGTAGTAGTTCTAAGGGCATCTTCAACCCAACTCTATTTTTTATTCTAAAATAGAATAAAAGAAAATATGGAGTAGAAAACACTCCAACTCTACTCCATTTCTCACTTCATAATAGAGTTTACTACATAAATGGAATAATCTGTTTTTTGTTTGTTCATCACTCCATTATGGAATGAAAAATAGAGTAGTATTGGAACATTTTTTACTTCATATTCTCTTTTATTTCATTTTGGAGGAAAAAATGAAGTTTTACATTGGAGATGCTCTAAGGACCATCAACAAAAATGAAAACCTTATTATTGAACTAGGGGAGTCTATCTTTTTTTTTTTTAGTGAAGCTAGAGGAGTTTATCTACTGTATGCGACTTGTTCTTAGCCCAGGGAAATACCTTTTAGGCTCTTAATACTTGTCTTAGTTCTAATCAAACTTTAGTTAGTGTTTAATGAGCTCGACCATTTGATTTGAGCCAAACTTTTTTTAAGATTCAGTCTATAAACTATAAAACTGAAAACAAAATAAATCTTAAGCTAAACGAAATTATAAAATAATAAAATCAACACTTCAAATATTAAAATTGTATAAGTAAACTCGTTTACATATGCATGTTATATAATATGGTTTTGATATAACTAATTTATGTTGAATATTTAAAATTAATCGTTTTATTTATTTATCCGATTTGGTTAGCTTTATATCAAATTATATTCATGTCTTAAGATTTTTGTTCTATATGGTTTACATGATATAAACCAAAAATAAATTATTATTAATTGTTTCATTTCCATTTTACCGAATCGAACCCCCATGCAACAGAGCCGGTTCTAGACATATGGAGGCTAGAAACCAAAAAGATTATGTGGCCATCAAGGTTCGAACTCATGACCTCAACAAAGTAGTAGAAGAATGTTTACCAAGTAGGCTAGAGGAACTTTTGACAAAAATGTGGCCGAAATGATAGTTAATATTTGACGGCCGGAAGCATGTGCTTCATCCGCTTCTATTCAAAGCCGCCTCTGCCATGCAATACTATATTGTCTCCTTTAAAATCCGTTTGCAGTAAAAAAAAATTTTTTTTTGGAAATAAGGTTTAATCCAAGGTTCTTTAATATCTCATAGGGTTATAGTTTTACAAAATCATCTTTTAACATAACTCAGATGCCGAAAAAACACAAAATTGTAAGATAATAAAAGAAAACGTCGATGTGTAGTGAGTAGTGACCAGTGGATAATCGATGGATCATATTCATATGTATACAAGCAGGGACCCTATTACAAATCATTGCGTCTTTTGACGAGTGCTAAACCTCACGTTAATTTATCTGCTATATAGTGACTGACACATTGAACGTTTTGACTAATATGAATTGTCAACACCAATAAGGAGAATATTTGTAAAAATACGGGTTCTTTTTAATTTAGTTGAAACTTTATCACATCGTTAACAAAAATCAAAAACACCAACTTGTAGTCTGTAAGCTCCCGGTTTTTAATGGTGTTAAAAGTAAAAATATAACTTTGGTTTGATAAATATACTTATGGTTCAGCTTGATAGCCATTACAGTATCTTGCCTTTTACTACCAAGTTATAATGCCGAAATGGAATTATCTTTGATTTTGGGATCGAACTTGGTCTTTTATTAGATTAACAGGTTTTGTCAATCCAGTTAAACTATAATGGGAATAACATGTTTAAGATTTTTAATTTTTCTTAGGTCGACTAAATATTTTAATCTGGCCACTTAGGTCTTTTAAAAATATTTCATGTATTTATCATCTTCTTCTTCCTCTTTTAGGTCGCCTTCTTTTTACTGTTGTTATATATTTGGATTCGTTAAAGGAAAAAAAATTACTCCACATATTATTATGACATGTTGATAATGATCCAAACCGGATATTCCTCGTATATTCTTTATCTATAATGTCATAAACAGTTTCTTTTGCAATCATCCAGAATCACACATTTTACTTTTTGCAACCCTATTTTTTTCTAATATTATACTACAGCACTCTTATTATGATCACTTTCCTTCAACTGATGAAGGCCGAATCTCATGATAAAATACTATTTTACATATTAGGTTTCAGCTCTAAGAATGGATTCGTTAGGAATGTATACGTAGGTCACAAAAAGAAATATGTAGAGCATGATGATATATAACTGAGATATTAAAACAGTTCTCGTTTACAAATATATATATATATATATATATATATATATATATATTAAAACAGTTCTAACTTGTCAATGTTATATAACGTACGCAATGCCGTTCATTATGTTTTTGTTACAAAACTCTACTGTTTTTATAAGATTCATTATGTTAAATTAATATTTAAAATAAATTAATTATTGATTTTCACCTCGATAAATGTTACATGACACCGTAACCGTATCCATGTGAAAGAAAAAAAAATACAATTGGAAATTTCAGATACCACTCCGAATGTTCCATCATCTAAAATCTCCAATATGTTGGTAATACACTTTAGACGTTTACAGGTTGAAAATTACGAATCTCGACCAGTCTGGCCGACAACAACATGTATCGCGTTTGTCTCTAAAAAAAAAAAAAAAAAAAAAAAAAAAAAAAAAAAAAAAAAAAAAAAAAAAAAAAAACAAACATGTATCGCCTTGCTGACTACTTCAGCTAGGTAATACCACAATCCTTGCCTTTGATCCTTGCTAATGTGGGCTGCTGACGTAATCCCACTAATCTCATTATATGTTCCATTATAATGACTTGTGCTGAATATACACTCGTGTTATGCTTTCGATTATCATTATTTCTTTTTTCGTCGGCTCA